GAGGACATCTGCCTTTACACTGTGTCACTTGGATGTGTCAGCCGAATTTTGAAGATATTACGATTGTGGGGAAAGGGGGTGCAAAAACTGCAAGAGAAGTGCTGGAAGCGTACTTGATAGGAAAGGAGAAAGATAATTGTGTTATCCAGACTTAGGTGTATTAACATAAAAAAGAAATAGCTTATCTTGAGCGTTGATACGATAACGGTGTGGTGGTTTACTTGGGTATGTTCTCTTCATTAAACGTTCAGTTGAACTTCAGCGCTCGTCTTGTGAATTCCTCCCTTCGTTCTTGTGTTTTTTGAGCGCTGCTACCAGTTGTAATCATAAACCAACTCTTCCTCCATCGCCACATTGACCCTTTATTTAGATCTTGGGACCACCATGTATCTCTTATTTTATATTATTTTTACTTTTACTATTAACGTAATGAAATAAGTATCGAAGGACCTAAATGTATACAGGGTCTTCTTTCGGGCAAGCTGTAGCATTTTTTTCGATATAAGTTCAGAATGCGCTTTTAAAACATGCGCATAATAGGACTTGGCAAGACTTCTTGTATACGCCTTGCCAGGGCATTTAGAAGTTCAGGTGCCTAAAAAACGGAATAAAATGTGATGCATGTCATTTTCATATTGAGCAAGCTTTTGAGGATTCAATTTTCTACAAACTTACGGCATGTGATTCAACGCGTATGAAAAATGTATAAATTTATGTAACCCATAACTTAATCTAGGTTGAAAACATAAGATAGACAAAACTTAATGCATCTGAAGTAAGAAAAGCAGAAAAAATATTTTTCGGCTTATTGCTTCCTGTTGATACTTACACCAACATGTTCTTCCAAAGAAGTAGAACCCTATGTCTTTTCGTGTTTTTTTTTCTACCATTGTAATTTGCAGGTTTTTTTGCCTTTTGTGGCCGTCTTCATTATAAAGCACTTTCCACGGCAACGCTTTCGCATTGACAAAGCTTGACTTGAAAATAATTACAATAAATAAATTTTAATCTTTTGGCGAGCAATTTCGACTCCACATATTTTTCCACCAAGGAGAAATTCACAGTACGGCGCATGCGCGGCGGTTTCCATGCAAGAACGACGGTCACTTACCGCAAGTCTTGAATATAAAATGGCGTACCATCAAGATTCACATGATTACCAGCAACCTCCGCGCTTCTCCGCGCCCCGTTGTTCGGCAGCGCCATTAGTTAAATAGTGAATTTTATGACAGTGCGAACTGCGGGACATTGTGAAGACTTTGGTATATCTTGGGAAATGCGAGACTCGAGCCCCGCGAGTCGCGGGACGGGTGGTCACTCTAACAACACTTTCTGCGACCGATTTCTAATGCGTGCCAAACTTCGTAAGCACAAACCTTAAAAATATCTGAATTGGACATGTTCATTTTATTTTCTTAACTCCAAAAAGCAGCAGCCAATATCGTCCCCTTCCAACATGAGGAATCGTCTTCTGGTTGCGGCTAGTGGATACACTTCTGGAACGCGCAACTGTGTTCCACGTGACGCGGGCCCGTAGTATTGCTCCCGACCCTGATTGTGCGTGAGCAATGAGAGCTCACGCCCATTCCAGAATTCCACAGTCGGAGAATTCACTCGTGTTATAGTGTAATAACTAGTTTCTAAGGGACTCTACCACAAAAACGCAAGACTGAAACCAAAATTACACAGTAACCACTGCAATTAAAAAAAATAGACAATGTACTCAAAACACTCCTTGTATCGAGGGACACTGAACTCAACACAAAATATTTTTTCGAAGTGCAAGAATGTCACAGAAGTGATTCTATGATAAAACATGGTTGCTCTAGTTGAACATAACAAACGCACGAATAAAAATACAGACGTTTCGATACCTATGCCGGTGGCATCTTAAGAATGAATTGACGCAAATGATATGAGAGCCCGCCAGTCGGGTTGCATTACACAAAATGTGATGCCACCCGATAAAACGAAAACTGGCCACATTCAAAACGTTTTCATCGCGTTGTTGCACAGTGTCACAAAACAAACACCTGGTTCTGCAAGGGGTTACAAATATAGTTAGCCGTTTGGAGAAGCGTCACTATACCAGGTCAGTTATTGACGATACGCAGAGGCGCATGCAGAGGTGTAGTGGAAGTGAGCCAGGGGAAAAAAATATTTGCAGTGTCAATTCCGCACGCCCAGGTGGTGTCGGGCAGGATTAGAAGAACCCTACGTCGGTTGGTTGTAGAGACTGTTTTTAAACCGCATTATATTTTGTCATAGCCTTTCGAGAATCCCAAAGGCATTCTCCATGCGGATGTTCAAAGGGTAGTGAATAAAGAGGAGTTCAGTGTTTGCGACGCAACGCACAATAGTAAACCGATAGAAAGAGGGTCACTAGACTTGAAGAATTACAGAACAGACCTAGCGGAAGCCATCCACGCTACGCTCGCCAAGAGGGAGCTTGTTGGCCACTGCTGTACGACAGGACAAATCTTCGATTTCGATACTGCGGAAACCTTGTGAAGAAAACAGCGCTGAGGCCCATGAAAGTTTCTCGATTCATGGGTCATCTGGCGTGGCTCATCGATGCGCAGCACCAACCGTGGCCCCCTATCGGACGTCTACAAGGATATTGGCGTTGAGTAGTGACTGGAGGGCTCTCACCTCATTTCTGTAAAATCCCACTGAAGATGACACCTGTATGGGTGGCGAAAAGTCCTTATCTTTGTTGATGTGTTTGTTATGTCCAGCTGCAGTAAACATTTTAATCGTGAATTTTCCCAGATTTCGGAACACCTTTGCAAAGATCAACTTGCAACGGAAACAAAATTTTACACAAACATATATGCTGCGAGAACAATTTTAAGCTAAGGGCTGCTATGAAACTAACTCTCTTTTGAAGTTAATGTCGCCGAAAAAAAATTAGTTTCGGAAGTGCTCCTACCTCAAAATTTATCTCGTGACATAAATATTGCGCCCATTTGTATATCGGGGTAAGAAGATTTTGTGACGGTTTTAAGCACTTAAATTGTTCTTTGACCGCTCAGTATCTCTTTCAAAAAATTAAGCGTTACAATGACTTGCCACTGTTTTATATCCGTGTTTCGATGCCCGTTTCTTTTTGTCACCGCCATTTAAGTAACCCTTGCGTTGTTACAATTTTAACAATCATTAAGCATAGTGTTCATCAGATAAATGTACTGGTGTTGTGAACGGTGTGCCATTTTCGCGGAATTACAGACAGGACCTGGTATTTGATTATCACAAAAGAGTGACAGATAACAGAAAGTAAATATTTAAAACATTCTACTGCTTACAGTCACAATCATACGTAACTGGAAAAAATGCAAGCCCACTCTTGGCATGGTGCTTGTGTCGAGTTATTCGTTCACTGCATGACACATTGCATCTACGCTATATCTTGGGCATACGTTACTGCCTTGGTTTCTCTGTATTCAAATGCACTCCCCGGCTCCAGTGAGGTGTGACCGTGACTGTACATCAAAATACAATGACACTGTAGGCTACCGCTCTGAATAAACGTGGAAGTTTTCGTGATCGCTAACGCCTAAAGAGTTTGTCAGAGTTATGAGCATGATTAACGAAAAACAATTCAAAACGTGCGTGGTACTCTTTACAACAGCTAAACTTCTAGTCAACTATAATGGAAGTGGAAGTTATTGCTTCGCCACGTGATCAAATCAACTAAAATGCTCAAAGGGCATCATATATACAAGAGTTGGCTTTTCTCGGCGAGTTTACGACTGTAATGCCAGTTTCTCAGTTGTAACCTAACCGTAATATATAAAAAAGGCTTTGCTTTCTCAGCACTTTCACAAAAGCAATGCCAGCTCGCCAGCAGTAACTTCACAAGTTAAACAACTTCAACAATAGGGCTCGACAAATCTGCTTTTGAAGTGGAGTTTAACTAAGCTGCTTCTTACAGATTTCTCTACTAGAATAAAATGAGGTATGTACATAGGTATTTGTGGCACTAGCGCACTGCTCTCTAGGTTCCAAACACGAGGCACGTCCCTTGTCAAAAATATTTTTTAGGGAATATCTGACCTCAGCTCTTTTCACAGACGTTCCCTTGTTTGAGGCTATAAAAATTAGTAAATCTGACCAAGAACGAGACATCGATGTCATCTTGCGTGTAGTGTGATAGCGTGTTCACACCCACGTTCGTATTTGCGATTTCTAATCCATTTTGAACTCAGTTTGACTTAACATGTTAGGAAAGACACAACCCCCGAATAACCCATTCTCAAATAACATGAGGCTCCTAAGACACAAAAAGAAGTAACATAAAATACTTTAAGCGCTTTGGTATAAACGTAAGTCTCTTATTGAACTTATCTGGTTGCCATGCACAGCTTGTAAACTAACACTTTTAAGGCACTTGAGACAGCCCGCGAAAATCGGATTTTCAACGTATCGCGCTACAATTTACTTCAGAGGTGCAAGATGGTGAAAGTTTACAATGAAAAATAAAAGAAGTTCCTTACCCTTCTAAAAAGAAGGAAAAAAAAAAGAAAATATGCTCTTGGCAGTCTAGCCCGCCACTTTGCAGACCGTACACGCGCAGACAGAAGTGCTGTCGACAGAGGGCGTACGTCGCGTCGAGGGTGGGCCGGCCAATTACGGTTCCTTTTGGGAGATCGTCTGCTATCACCCCGAATCGGTCAGCGCTCCCTCGACTTGGCGTTCGCCATCTGTCGACAGCACTTATCTCTACGCGTGCATCGCCTGCGAAGTGGCGGCGTCGATTGCCCAAAACAGGCTTTTGTGGAAGTTTCTTTTTTACAGAGATACGCTCATTTTTAATTTTTTTATTTCTGCACTGTAAAATTGCTTTACCCGTTTGCGCATTTGTGGTAAATTGCAGCACGATACGCTGAGAATGCAATTTTTGCTTGTCGCCTAAAGTGCATTAATAGCGTTAGTTTACCCAATGTTGGAGCAGCAACATTCTTTGATGATTTTCATTTCACAACAATGCAATAGTTTTAAACAATCCCGCCAGTAAGTCGATTTTACACAAAGTAGATATTTCACTTGTAGAACGTGCCGCCAATATTCATCAACGAGTGTATCACAAAGAGCACTACCGAAAATGATCCCGTCGCAGGCTCTTTTTGTCGTTGTAATGGCGGCCGTTGAATATTTCACTGTACACAAAGGAAAGTTAGCAAAATATTTGACTGTACACAAAATTAAAAGTGCAGATCGACACAGGAATGCAAGTTATCAAAGTCACGCCACTTTGCCCGTGCCACCTCTTGGTTTGTTCGATATCATCTTCCATACAACGAAGTAGCCTGAGTGACCCAGCAAAGTAACCAGGTACTTGTCGCCGTAAAGAAATCGCACGCAGGTTACGGGAGCTGAGCTGATCTTTTGTTCCGTGAATCCAGCCTGTAAGAGATAATGACATTGTTTTATGCATTTGACTCAAAGAACACCTTCATCAGAAAAGGTCTGCGGCAATAATGTTCTGCCACAGTAAACCCTGGATCAAAGTAAAAAAAGGGGCTTGGATTTGGGTGTTTGATTGTCTGTCATTTCTTCTCCTTGCTCCAGGGTTGCTATGCCAGTCTTAAACCAGCGCGCCTGCACTCTCTCCTTAATTTTTAATGTTCTCTGAAATTGTTTTAGTTTTTTCGTCAAGCATTTTGAAAACTGCCAAAGCAAGGCCTAGAAATATAGATGCCGACATTCCTCGCGTTAGGTCGGAATTATACGACTTAAGAAGTTAATCTGAATATACTACCGTCAGCAACCTTCAATGCGCTTCTGGTCACAAAACGTCTTCGAAACGCTATGCGGGTTACATTCATGACTGCGCCAGTGCGCTGGTGTCGACAAGGGGACATAGAGTCGCCAGTTCAGTCACCACCACTGGAAGTCTGGCAACCGGGAGGTGTTACTGGAATTCTGTAGCACCTCAAAATTAGCAGCACCTAGACCGCCGTGACGCGTCATTGCATTGACCGTGTTTCTCGTTATTGGAAACACCTTTGGCCCTGTAGACTCATAACAGCTCAAATTTTGTTATCTGCAACGATCCCCTAGAATGATATCAACATTTCTTTTTTTTTTTGCGTATTAAAATTACTCTTCAATGTTGCGGCCACCGCCAAACTTCCACACCGCGCGAGGAGGGACTTTGGGGAGTCACTCAAAACACGTGCGCTCAGTCGCCTGGCGCTTTTGTGCAAGAAATAGCGTAGTTTTGATTGAAAAAAACGTGTTTGAAAGTTACGGTTACTTAATACAAATAAAGGATGATCGGTGCTCGCATACAGCGATTAATTACAGGCGTAACTAAATTACTGTGTACGAGAAATTGTTTTGCAAAATATTTTGTTACCTTGAAGTTTGATTGGCTCACCCAGAATGAAGAGGCGAAACAGAGAGTTCCGCCCCCGCTCCCCCCCCCCCCCCCCCCCCCCCCCGCCCCCTTCGACAGTGGCGCGTGCCTGACGGCAGCTTCAATCCTCAAAACTAACTTTGGCGGAAGATTTGTGACGAGAAACACATTGAAAGACTTTGCAACTGATAAGTGGAAATAATAAAGCAAAACACAACCAAGTACAAAAACAGAGAGGTCCACCTTTTTAACTCGAACGAGTAACTAAAAAAACTGATAATACCACAGCAGCCAACGTTGTTCGCATTAAGTAATTTGAACTAACTATTGGGAGACTAATGCACCTAGATCCCTTTCAGCCAAACAAATATCGTATAGGACATCAACCTGTTGTGTTGCCATAGGTTTTATCATATTGGTAATTGGAAAGCCAAAATTAAGAAAACAAGGACAAGCTTGAAATGTCTAAGCTTTAATTGTTGAGACCAGGCTAAAGAGATGGCTAAGAGCGCTGTCCAGTTCCGTTGCATTATAGCTATATTGGAAATTCGGCCTTAGTTTAGTTTCAATAATGGCGGTCCTTGAGCAATGTAGTTAACCCGTTGAAGCATTTGAAGTAAGAACTTATCACTAGCTGATTTACAACAATCGCTACACTATTTCGATCTATCAACCAGACCTGCATATGCAGAATTGCGTTTATTGGGAGACGCACCAGACACTCACGTTCAATCGCGGCAATCTTAGAACCCGCTGCTGAGTCTTTTCAAAGCGGCGCTTCGTCATCCTCTCCTACCTTTTCTTTCTTGCAACTAGAGTCACTGAATGTTTCAAGAGTATTGATTTCGATAGTGTCTGCTGTGACTTCTCTATATTAGGTATGATCGGCCATTCAGGGATGCCAACTCCCGTCTCCTAAGCGAACGCGCCGAGAATTACCACCAAAGTTCAGACGCGCCCAGGTCGGGACGCACTGCCTGAAGTCACCGGTGAGAGATGCTTGTATAAAAACAATATTAATTGTGCCAGAAAACATTGCAAACCAAAATATTATGAAAGCATTACGCCTCTGACATTTTGTACTACTTTTCAATAGAAGTTCATAAAAATATAGTTTTTTTTTCGTTTGTTTTTTAAGCACAAATATGCTTTCTAAACACTCATAATGACCACAACAAGAGAAAAAAAAGATTCAGCCGCCATCTTGGCGCCATCGAGCCTGGGAGTTTTGGTACTCTGGAAACATTCAGTGATTCTGCTTGGAACAGTACCCGCAAGAGAAAATACGAGAAGCGCGGAGGGCAATTCTACCCTCTCTACCTCTACTGCCTTCTGCTTAAGCAAGTCCGTGTTTGTCCACACCACGTGTGGGCAATGTGCGTGCACCACGCCGACCACAGCGCCACCGCTGTGGCGTGACGTCAGGGCACCAAGTTGTGAACTACGCGCCCCCCCCCCCCCCCCCTTCCACTTGCTCTACCCTTCCCACTTCTCGGGGAAGCAATGTCACGCCAGGAACGCACGCGAAATTTGAGTCAACTTCAGTTGGAACACAATTAAAAAAAAAAATATATATATATATATATATATATTCTTCTATATAGAATATATAGAAGGATATATATATATTCTTCTATATATATATATAGAAGAAAATATTAACAGGTACACGATCGGAACCAACCTTTATGTTCGTGCACGGGAACCGGAATATTCTCAGGAATCCCGCGCGATCTCCAGCTGCCACAACGGCCTTGTTGTGTGATCGGTGGCAGGTCAGATTCACCGCGTCCCTCAGGTTCTCGTTGTCCCAAATGCCTGGGGATAAGGGGGCATTTTTAACGTGTATGAATAGGAGATATTTAGTGTGGCCGCGAAATGCGCGAATTCCCCTAGCTAACTAACCGTCTTTCCATTACTCTGTATATTACTTCGTACACACGATAAAGGCTAAGAAATTGGGCGCCTGTACTTTCTCGCAAAGCACTCGGGAGTGCTCAGCACCACAAGCGACAAACTGAGCTCGGCGTATGACAAGACTGAAAATGCATAGAGCTTAAAAAAAACAGTTTTTGCTGTGACACTGCGCATGGTAATATGTCGTTCTTTGACGGAGTGCAGACTATTTTTTGAAGTCTAAACATAGGATCAGTCTCATCATTCGTCGAGCTCCCATAATAGACAGCGCGGTTAGCTGTCCCGAGAGCTTTGCAGAAAAGCGGAAGCTCCAGATATCGTTAAATTGCAAGTAAAGCCTCTTTAGGTAAACTATCTTTTTTTTAAGTTACACTTAAAGGCATTACACTCTCGTCAAACAAGGGTCAATCACAACCAACGCGGAAAATTTTCGAACAAAACAAAAACTTTGTGAACCTCTTTTGGTCTCCTCAATAATCGCCCAAGATATGATACAACTTGATAAAACAAACACTGTAGGCTTCTCATTCATACAGCGAAAGATACGCTTCAGTTTCCTTTCGTTGTCACGCATATTGCTTCTATAGTTTGGAAGTGCGCTTTACCTCAACGTGCCACGAGGTAACACAGACTACACAGTCTCGATCAGACTCGTATTTTTCTTTACATGTCAAATACTTATGCTTGCTTGTTTTACGAACGGCGAGACGTGTCTGTTGTTATATTTTTTCATGATTTGTTTTTGTGTTTTTTATAGTCGCAGGCAGCTTATGAAACCGAGACTCTACGAAATTCCTGCGCGTCTACTTACCCGCAAAACACTCAAAGGGCGAATCTCTATGATCTAAGGAATCAGCTCGGCGAATGAAGAGGCGGAACATCCGTTTAGACCTAAAAATGAAGTCTGCGCTGTGGCATTACGCAATGCAAAGCGTCATGCTTTTATTGCGTAATGCCACAGCGAAGACTTAATTTTGAGGTCTAAACAGATGTTCCGCCTCATCATTCGCTGAGCTGATTTCGTAGATAGCAGAGATTGGCTCTTCCAGTGTTTTGCGGGTAAGTAGACACGCATGCATTTCTTAGAGTGTAGGGCGTGTATTTTTATGTGGAAGCTTCCTGCTTCGCTATTCGTTCTTCGGTGCTCTTATCAACGAATGCCTCAATCTGATTGCTTGGGGGAGCAATAATAAGATAGCGGGGTCACGTCACACACAGCGTTCCTAAGCTCTTGGTGACTCTACTTATCTGAGCCCTCCCGCTAGTGGCCCTCAAAAGAGCACTGACCGTATTTTCAAATAAATAAATGAATGAATGATCGTTAAGATTAATCGATCAATAAACTGGATAAAAAATATATAAAAAAAGTTACTGAGCACTGCTTAGAGGGTGTCTAGGCTGGCAGTTATGGGTACTGTGGCGTGGTTGAAGTCTTTCGGCGGTCAATGTCAGTGCACTTGTGAAACCATGACGTTGAGTTTACTGTAAGGGGACGAACCTTTATTTGGGGGCGGAGGGAGGGGTCGTCAGAAATGGACAGTGAACAACGTCAAGGGGTGTTTAGATAATAACACACACCACAGCGCACTACTGCAAAAGCACTCACACCATACACTCACTCCTAACACACGAAAAGAAAAAGAAAAAAAAGGAAAAAGAAAGAAAAAATTCAAACGAACCGCGCTGAATGACAACTTGTTTGACAGCGCGGTTCGTTTGAATTTCTCATTTCTTTTCGTGTGTAAAGGCCGGTTTAGACACTTGCGTTTGAGTGCGTTTGACTGCGTTGTGTCGAGAACCGAAAGCGAGTCACCGACACATCCGTGCTTCGTATGAAGCGTGGAATCCAATTCAAGGAATCATCTTGGCACGCGATATAAGCAGCAGGGATGTCCTGGTTTCTCGTAGCCGCAACGCAGTCAAACGCAGTCAAACGCAACCGTCTGAACCAGGCTTAAGGAGCGAGTGTACGGTGTGAGTGTACTTTTGCATTAGTGGGGTATCGGTGGCCGAGTGGGCTAGCCTACACCAGCTCGGAGCACGTGGAGCGAAAGCTCGTGCTGCAGAACCCAGCAATCGCGAGTTCAATCCCCATCCCTGCCCGTTTCGATCTGGATGAGCATCGTAATAGCGTGCGGTCGTGTATCACCACAGCGTGGTGCACGTTAAAGGCCCCAGGCTGGCGGTTGTACTGCACTGGCTAAATTGCTCATCTGCAGCGAATGACTCGCCGCAACTTTGAAATGGCTGACCAACTACACGCTGTATAAATATCCCCACAACCCCATTCAATATTGCAGTAGTGCGCTGTAGTGTGTGTTATCATGAGCAACAAATGCTCCCAAGCTGCTACGTGTTTTGATAGCTACGGAAACCAGCGGGGAGCTACCGGCTTCCAGTTCCCAGATATAGTCTCCAACAATACTAAACACCCATTTGACGAGGTATTTGCAGGCATTTGTGGGGGAGTCAGTTACGCCAGCCCCGCATTGCTCGTGGTGACAAAGTTAACCGACGTTTTATTATCCCTCGAAAAATAAACTGCCTCTGACAGTTATTTGCTTAGCACCGCCGCGTAAACTGCCTCCGTGAATGTCTTTCATATTGTGGAAGATGCCAACATGGCTTGCAAGGCCTAGGCAGATAGTCAGTGTTTACATACGCCTCGCAGACGGTACAGCTAACCTACACACTACTCCGAATGAAAAATAGCGTGAATTAGGTTAAATGTGTAGGCTCTAAAGTTCAGTTATGGTAATGCGATGCCCGCGCTTGCTTCTGTTGTCCAGAGTGATGCGACCTACGATGAATTTCAATCAAGAACTCAGCATGATGCCCATAACAGCCAGCGACAAGTTCCCTTGGATTGAACACCGTGAAGTTTCTTGAAGTTTTATTTGCCGAAATATTTCATACTTTCTACGTCAGACTTTAGTCTCAGGCGGTGAACCTACAGCCTATAAAACTCACGATGTGACGGTAATCAACCATTTGGTCACGGTTTCTATCACTTCCTTGGTACCAGCTACCGTGACCTAAGGGCAATTCCCTTTATTGGTGTATATTTAGTGCATATTTACAATGTCTAAGGTTGATAATATATCATGTGAGCTTCAAAATTATTAGTTGAAAATGATACAAAGACTTACCAACGACGTCTGGATTTAATGTGCACGTGAGATCTTGCCAGTCCACCTTGGTCAGCGTAGGAGACTTGGCCTTGAGACTGTTTACATCCCCTGGAATACCACAGATAATCTTATGGTTTCCTCCGAATAAGAATGGCTTTGTGAAAATCCGGTTTGGGGAATTTTAAGTGTTAAGTATACCTAACCCTCCGAATACTGATGATGACTAAATAAAATATTTAATTAAATGAAATACTTAATTTAAAAAAATGCTAAACCAAATAAAATACTTAAATATTTTTCCGATGATTAACCCTAAAGTTATCCAATAACCCGGTTAATTCAAATAAAGTTGGAAATTGGGTATCAAGAGTTCAGTTTTGAATCTGATTCGCCCTCCCAGAACGCTTCCTCACTAAACCATTTCTCGATTTTCGTTTATCACCATAACCTAAATGACAACAAGCAATCTTGCCCTGCAAACACCCTCGTTGCAATAATTATCATGGCTACACTGGAAGCTGCCAAGTATTAACTTGTCAAACCTAATCATCGCGTGACCAAAAGTGAATAAAGTAAAACGTACAGCAAAGAAGTTCCTGATATTGACCGTCGCTTGTCACCACCTGCAGGAGACGGTTGTCGCTGGACCAATCGACGTTAACAATGGAATCCCGGCCCTGTAAGTGTAGACCCATTTAAGCATGTTGAATTCTGAGTATCATGAAATCTAAAATTAATAAAAAAATCCCATCGAAACATGATTCACTCACCCTGATAACTTCACCCTTCTGGTTTGTTTGACCTTGATCCTGAACAAGAATGATGTAGATAAATCCGTCATTTGCTCCAACCGCCAACATCATTCCATCTGAAAGAACCACAACGCGTATTTAGGTGCAAAAATTAATATTTCGTTTCATCAAAAGGGTAATAAAGCTAGCGTTCTCTCCTTTGTGACTGTCCCCTCCTGCAACACAGAAGCGGTTCCGTGATGTCATGAACAGAAAACTATTGTCAGTGTTGATTGGATTTCTATTGTTTACGTTAAACCCCTTTTAATATTATTAAAATGTACGCTATTTGTTAGACTGTTGCACACTTATGAACTAGTTTGAATTACCGAAATGCACGACTCTCAATTTTTTCATAGCAGCGATATACGGAGCGGTCTGCCAAGAGGTACTCAGGGATTATCAGAGTGCCTAGATGAATTTTCGAAATAAATAGCGCGACGGTCAAGTACAAACTGACAGTACAAGCGCTAACTCACAACTGTCGTTTTAATAATCACACAGAAGACGAGAAAGAGCTAGCGTTTCTCTCTCGTCTTTCTTTTCGGTATGAAAAATACCCAAAATGAAATTGCCTAGATGGGAAGAGAGACGAGAGAGAAACGCTAGCTCTTTCTCGTCTTCTGTGTGATTATTAAAACGACAGTTGTGAGTTAGCGCTTGTACCGTCAGTTTGTTCTTGACCTTCGCGCTATTTAATTCGAAATATGCGTATCCAACTAGCCCACCTTAATAGTTTAGTGCCTAGACGGAGACACTGACACCTCACCTTTTTTTTTCGTTACAAGAGGCGATTGTCTGAACGCATGGCATGTTTGCCATCTTTCATCAGGGAGCCCATGATGAACCAAACTAAATAGCCATATAAGTCTTGTCAGCGTTCAGCTAAAAATTTAGTTTGTCGTAATATGATTCAAAAATAAGCAAAGCGATTAATTCAACGAATTATGGAGGTGGTGTTTTGTGCCCCAGCGTGCAGAGAAAGAAATGAGGCGTTTACACCTCTCCCGTAATGCCGAATTAGAGCGCAGCTCTTGAGCAGGAGGTGGGGAGGAGGAAAGGGTACGGAGGAAGAGGAGGGGCAAACCCTCCTCTTCGTACACTCCCCTCTTCCTTCCTCTCCCCCTCGTCCATACTCGTCCCTGCTCCTCCTCTCATTCTCCTCCTCTCATTCTCCTCCCCTCTTCCCCTCCCTCCCTCCCCCTCCTGACGTCACTCGTGACCCCAGTGACACTCGTGGCGTCACTCGTGCGTGCCTCCTGAGGTTGTGACGTCACTCGCGACCCTAGTGATCCTCCTGACGTCACTCGTGACCCTCGTGACGTCACTCGTGACCCTCGTGACGTCACACGTGACGTCACGTGTGACGTCATTATTGTAAACGTCCCATAATGCAACTCTCGGTTACGAGTGACGTCTCTCGTGGCCCTAGTGACCCTGCTGACGTCACTCGTGACGCTCGTGACGTCACATGTGACGTCACGTCTGACGTCATTAAGGGGGACGTCCCATAATGCAACGCGCGGTTAAGCCGACGGCGACGCCGCTCAAGCCGGAAACGGGCGCCTAAGAGCTGCGCCCTAGAAAAACGCAATCGAGTCTCCTGCAACTATAGCCACTGACATCTTAAGAAGCGAATAGTGCGGCACACTATATTCATATTGCGTGCTTTGTGATTTGTCATTGGACGTTTTTGTCACATAATGGTTCTAAGAACTCGCCTTGCCCTCTGTTACTAAAGCAGTGACTACTTTCAGCTGACTTTAGGTCAATCAAACTTAGGCTGATTCAGTAGGGCTTATTACAAAAATTAAAAGCAACAATAAATTAAAATAAAATACGTTTACAGTGTGGCTAGAAGAACACAGGTGTCTGGAGACGAATTTATTCCGCTGCTTTGGATGTCTGAGTCTTTTGAAAAGCTTTGGACGTGTGAAAACTTTCTAAATCAGTTAAATGTTGTTTTTTTTTCAGGGTATTTGTAGCGGTTACAAATTTCATCCACGCAGTGAGCCTTTTTTTTTTTCTCATTTGTTCAGTTACCTGGATTAAGAAACCTACGAGTTTATATCGTAAGAAAGCGCAGAAACACAACCCCTCATGCCGACCGCATACAAATATTTTCTCGTTGTTTCAAAATTATAGAAGGGCCGATAAATCGCCAAAGTGTCGTACTCCGGGAAAGTAAAAGTGCAAAGGTTGGTTTCTACAAAATAAACGTTGAGAGTTTGTACACGAGTTTCAGAACAACAAGCACCGGAACTTTAATGACGTATGCTCATTTAATCTCCGTTCGCCGGTGCTCACATTTTCGCCGCCGTGCCGCGAAAACTTTTAGCTTTAGAAAGGCGTGAGCTTTTCATTTCTCGAAGTCAGGCATTTGCCGCTGGCATCGCCTCTTCTGGAGTTCTGGCTGCGAGAAGAACGGTTTAACCCGGCGCAATTGTGACTCAAACCCTCGCCGAAATCCACGCAGTAGTCTGTTCTATTCTGAGGCCGAACTCAACCGATGGTTGAGGTCGAACTGCATCCTTACGGTGTCCGTTGTCTTTGCTGGTTTTCTATTTCTGGCAAGACCAGTTATGAACACAAAAAAGGCGCGGGATTACGACCCATGCATTGTGCGGGATTGGTTGAGTAGGTGACGTCATACCCAGAAAGGTGATGAGCGCAGTGACCATATATTTTCGGGGTCTGCCTTATTGGCTCCATCAGATTGTAGCGTTTGCTGTGGTTGGACTAAAGAAAAATTGAGTATAACAGCCTTATGTGTTACTATGCGTGCACGAATATTATCTTGCTGCTCGAGTTCTCTTTCACTGGGATTGGTAGCACCTGCTGCAGTAGTCGGCGACATGTTAAAACATCAACCGGTATATATATTTGTTTTAAGTTCTTGGGTTTATTTCGATATAGGAGAAGCCGGCACTCTAGACGTAGACTCATTGGCGGCCAAAATGAGCCTATCGGTGTATGTTGTGTAAACTGCAACAATAAAAGAAAAAGCTCTATTGGGTTAATATCTTGGTATCCAAACAGACCGTTTTCGAAAGACTGCCCTCTGTTGGCGGCTGTGAAATCCCTGCACAATGGCGGACTACAAACGCAACGTCTCTGAACACTTCATGCGTTTGTATGCATTAGAGGGCGAAAACACACCCAGATAACATGGTGATGAGAACAGTGACGTTTGCACTTTCGACGCTGTTTGATTGGTTTGTCAGCTTCGAGAGCTGGCCGCGCTTTGAAGTCCCCTATGTTACGAAATGACTTGCACGTTCAACAATGTGCCTTGTTCCGCAATTGTGCTGTGGTCCCGACCTTCCGATAATCGGCACGTGGCTTTCGAAAGGGGTGTACAAGACACGATGGTACTTCCGAAATTCTGTCGTCGGCGGAGCACCCGCCATGTTTTGCGTTTTGCAACGTCAAAAAAACGACAGTAATTAGCAATTGCTCACGTGATATTTACAGCCAAAAATGGATGAAAACATTTATTAACATGGCTAAACAGGGTTTAGCGGAAGCGAAAAGGTGGTCCGTGAAACCGCCCTTTATCAAAACAGAGAAGGAGAGTTGTTTCCTGGGATATTCTCGTCCAGAAAGTATATCCAGATTTAAAATAGTAAAGATATGCAACATTGTCTGTGAGATGCTTTATTTTCAGTTAAATCGAAATACCCTAACTTATCTTTCGATTTATCTTTTTTTTTTTTTTTTTTTTTTTTTAAGCATGTACCATAGTGCAGCATCAGGTTTTGGATTTCCTCCTCATAGAAGTTGACCGCCTGTGCCTCGAACCAACATGTTTGGCAGCCATCGTTAAAATAAAGTGGTACTGAGGTGTTCCGTAAACATTTTGTGAAGCAATAATCTTGATACCTCAGGAACCCGTGTTGCAAGATCAGAAGTAATGAGGTGTCAGTTACCCAGGGCTTCATTCATTTCCTGCATCAAATCGTTAATGACCAAAATAAGCCAACTGTACCGCAATGCATCATAAATTATCTGCCCCAATCTTCAACCATTCAAACCCATCTCCAAACCATTGGTAGCTTTATTCAACCTAGGTAGTCCATAAACTTCGCATATTCGACGATATAATTTTTTTTTGTATGGTCTAACCTTTCACGCATTCCAAAAGTCTTACACCGCAGACAGGAGTTTGGATTGGACGGGCACTTCTGCTAAAGTAAAGAAGATTACTGCAAAGCATAAACCGCTATACCAGGGGTGGCCAAACCGCGGCTCGCGAGCCGCTTGCGGCTCTTTGCTGGTCTAAATGCGGCTCGCGGATCCCTCGTAAGGAGACCCCCCTCCCCCCCCCCCCCCCCCCCTGCCCGCATTTCCCCAGGAAAAAAAGAAGGAATTTTAGGCAGAATGAAGTACGGCTCAAGGTTTGGTAGCCTTGTACCTCCATACGTACTGTCGTACAGCCTTGTGCACTTATACGTACAGTAAACTCTGAACAAAATTTAAACTTGCCCCCCCCCCCCCCCCCCGTGGCTCTTAGAAGTTTCGTAATTCCGTTTGCGGCTCTTAGGCCTGGTAGGCCTGGCCACCCCTGCGCTATACTAATCACATTTTCACGAAACGGCGTCAGGCTGTGACCAATAAACGACGTAACACAACGGCACATACGCTTCTCGGAACTGAATACGGAGCGCAAGTTGGTCTGCTTCTTGCGCAGGGTTTGCGGTGACATCAGAACGATGAGCTCTGATTGCCTTTGATTGAAGGAGATTGGGTGCTAGCTGCCACGAGCCCCTAGCATTCAGGTCTACCTCCGTCTTTACATTGAGAGCCAATCAAAGCTGGGTGTTCAGACGTCACCGCAACCCCTGTGCAAGAAGCAGGCCAACTTGTTCTCCCCATGCTCGCGCGGGACTTAAGGCACAAACGGGGATTACTGTCTGGATCCGCGTACAGTGGTAGTCACACTCGACTATGACGCAGGAGCGTGCGGCTTTGTCCTGCGAGCACTGGGTTGGTAGTATTCGCGGGAACTAAATTCTAGACAGGTGGGCCAACACGAAACGGTTCGCTAACTGACCTTAACATTATTCTACACCTATTTTGTTATGTTATGTACTATCAATGTATGCGATTCAGAGCACCGATTGATGAAACGGGCAGGACACACCTTGAACGAAGCGTTCCGTGTTTCCCCACGTGACTGCATAAGTTGCTGTGAATGACATCAGTTAAGCTCTCGCCCAATACCACATAGAAGGCAAGGCTCTAGCATGATGCCATCGTTAGTGGATCCCAGACCCTCTCCAGGCAGTTAAGACGTGGAAGCTGGACGAGAGACGCCGCCAAGTAGCAGACGCGCCTGCCTTGGGTAGTCTGGGCCTCGCAGAGTGCTAGCGTTCCACTCGTTGTGAGATGCTACAAGTGATGACGTTAGAGGGTAAGGAGGGGAGACGCAAGTTTTGTCTTTTAGGCGGCATTGACTCACTGGAAACTGCCTCGCACGACTCATGCATTATAGCAAATGCGACCACCACTGTACTCCAGGCGAAGAACTTCCGAGCTCACCTGGAGAGTAGGCAAGTGCGTTGAGAGCACTGCTGGCGACCGTCACGGAGGACACCACTGCGCCGGAGTCCGCGGCCAGGAGGAACATGCGGCCGTTGGTGCAGCCCACGGCCAGCGTCCCACCGCGGGGGTGCGTCGATGCGGACAGGCACTCGGACTGCACGCAAATGCAAAAGGAGCGAGCGAATTGTACGTGCGGCATTCCACTCTGGTTTTCGAATCGCAAGAGCAAATCGGATCAACTCGTTCTTTCCTTCCAACGGGTGCGGCGTTCAAACTGAACCTTAAAGCCGCGTTCCCACCGCGAATACATTGCACGAACGGCTGACCGCAGACACTGCCCGAGGCCTTCCTTGCACAGCGGTCCGATAGGCCATACAGAAACAAACTGTCTGCAGACATGTTCATACGTATGCATAAAGCAAGCATGGTTCGAACATACGTGAGGCGTGTCCGCAAAGGATTCTGTCGTCTTGTCTCGCAATCATTTCGCGAACACCGCGTATTTTGTACGCTCTTCAAGCAGCCGGACTCCTTTAACCAACGGCGTTCGCAAGCGCTTGCGAATGCGGTTGAACCGGTATGAGCGAATACAGCGCGAATATTTCAAAACTAGACGGAGTATTTTTAGGCGGTAAGATATTCTGTCGTATGCACCTCTGCGGCGCTAATCTAACGTACGAAAAACGCCGAGTCCATGGGCAGTGCAAGCATCCGCGGTGCCGAGATTCCGCAGGAGAGCGTTACCGCACACGTTCGGAACGCTTTCTACGATCCAATAAAGAAAGGTGGGAGCACCCATAAGGCAATTATTTGAATGGTCCGCAGTCTGCTAAATTAAGCTACCCAAAATAATTGCTCAATGTACGAGGTTAGAAATATGGCCTCAGAAGTATGTTTTCACAATCTGTTGTGACTGATATTTCTTGGTGCAAACCAATTACTTTGTAGAAATTGTTTAAAAATGAAAAAAAAACTCAATTTGTTTCTTCTTAAACATAGTGTTAGTAATATAAGAATTCACCGAAATATCCCACGTAATAGTAAAATCTGTCATGTCACACATTTGTTCTCGAATACTGCAACTAATAATGAAACACATACGGTAGATTTTGTCATTTATTTCATATCTTGCGTCACTGTTTTGCAAAGGACTACTGCCGCGCGCGCAGCTGGCCAAGTAGGCAGCGCGCGCGTGGCTTAACGGTCCCCCTCCGCGCCTGCCTCCCACGCGAAAAGCCAGAGTTCGATTCCTTGGAGCGGCGTGTATTTTATTTATTCTTGCAATTTAGTGTTGTAGCCAAGGTGTCCAGCCGTCGGGTCGTCATGGCATGCTTGAAAGATTTCTTCTCGCACGCTGGCCGGAACAACCAGCAGCCAGGCAGGGTTGCTCGTTCCTAAGTTCTTGAAGAGAACGCCTCGCCGCAGAACGAAGCTTGGCAAGTCTCGGGCCAAGACTCGCGGAACTGAGCTTCCTTGACCTTCGAGGTGATCGATCACGGCGCGAAGTTCGGGGTCGTCTCTTTGAAGTGCTCCCGTGTCGGTATCTGTAATTGCTCCGAGAAAACGGGCTTCGTCATCGTCGTCTGTGCGGTCGGGAGGAGATTCGACTGGGGTCCTAGACAAACAATCGGCGTCATTCTGCTTGCGGTCAGACTTGTGCACAATGGTCACGTCGAATTCTTGCAGTCGAAGGCTCCAGCGAGCGAGGCGTCCTGACGGGTCCTTGAGGTTGGCGAGCCAACAGAGAGCGTGGTGGTCCGTGACAACGCGGAACGGGATCCCGTACAGGTATGGGCGGAACTTGGTTAACTCCCAGACGTCAGCGAGACATTCCTTGTCGGTTGTCGAGTAATTTTTCTCTGCCTTGGACAGTGCCCGGCTTCCGTAAGCGATGACCCTCTCTGCTCCGTCTTGTCTTTGGACGAGCACCGCACCTAGCCCGGCGTTGCTGGCGTCTGTGTGAACTTCCGTTTCCGCTGATGGATCGAAGTGTCCGAGGATAGGGGGTGACTGGAGTCGTTCCTTCAGTTTGTTTAACTTCTTCTTGCTCCTAAATTGCAGGAATGAACAAAATACACGCGGCTCCAAGGAATCGAACCCTGGCTTTTCGCGTGGGAGGCACGCGCGATAACCGTTAGGCCACGCGCGCGCTGCCTACTTGGCCAGCTGCGCGCGCGGCACCATCGTGTAATACTCCTTGTTAAAAATTATTAAGAGCATCGGAGACGTCGGGAAGGCAACAGTAACATTACGCGGTGAAAATGCGCCCAGTTGATGTCTTTTAATTGCCTCCTAATGCGCCAGGAAGGCTCAACAACGCCTACACACATTCTTCGAATTGTCATCTTATGAAGATAGAAGCGCTATTACTCATACTTGTATGTCCCTATGTTTGACGTTCCGTTGCTTGTCCCGTACCTTCAGCTTGTAATTAGGAAATAGTCGTTTGCCATCAACAGACGTACCTGGAGCAGACTGTAGGATATCGCCTGATAATGTTTTGTGGCTTTAAGGGACACTTAACTCCCAGAAAACATTTGTGAACTGCTTCACTGAGAAACATATAACACGATATATTCACCAACCCCCACAAACACAAAACTATTAACTCAATATTTATGCGAAACAGATAATACTTTTCTTTCGTAGTAGACGTAATGCATTGGAAACATATACAGGTTACTGAAAAAAGTAACTAAATTTTGTTAATCTTTACTTGCTACTAGCATCCAAAGAAAGCCGGTTATTTCAGCTAAAAATTCACGCGTTGCTCCCTCGTTACTCTAAATCTGTCGTTTTTTATAAAGCATTAGCCGCCTTCAACCGTTTTACGTCGTTAATTTGTTTAAATCAAAAATAAACTAACGTACTGAATTCTCAGACCATGCGAATCACATAAGAATTAGTGTCACGAGGGTTCTAAGCATCTGTTATACATATATTTAGAAACGGATGTTACAAAAATTAATTATGTACTAACTTTCATGCACTAACGGTTTTCTGACGTAATGAGCCCTGCATGTTAAAATAGAAAGATCCTTAGACTGAACTTTCCCTTGAAGCACGAATGAGGGAAAGTAGACGCACAATATTTGTTCGTGAACAGGGCCTTCCTGTCTCGAGCAAATACGGTATTGCTCTTGTTTAAGTTGGCTTTAATCCTTAACACGCAGGCTTAGCTGGTGTTCATTTCCGTGGACAAGACAATAAGATTTTTAAAGCCGTGGATATTCGCTAGAGCCTTTAGCAGTGTAGCTTAATTTAACTTAGGTAGAAGAAAAAAAAAACTGCTTACGTCTAAGGGCGTCATCCAAACGAGGTTGGTGATGTTCCACTTGCATACGGCCCGGTCCCTGCCGACTGTGTAGAAGACGTTCTCGGTGGGGGAAACCGCCACGAACATGGCATCTCGGCAATGGCTCTGCAAGATAACTTCCCCGTTACTTTGGGGTCACGAATATTCTGTAATCTGCACTAACATCCGAGTGCCCTATGTATAAAACTCGAGAGTGAATTATTTTTGGTGCAACAACGTACCGCAGAACAGCAAAATAGCACAAAACATTTCTACCGAGTCTGCTCGGTTTACGTGTTAGTTCATTACTATGCTGAAAATCAACAATATATTTTTAATGGGTGTCGTGTCCCAGCGAGGGACAACGGCAGGGACGTCGTGACTGAACAACCGTCATCAGGCCAATGATGTTTATTCAGGGCGCAAGGACCCAGCTCGAGAAAGAGAGAAAGACGAAGTGGCATCTAGTGGCCGAGAATTATAGATGTGGCAAAGAAGTGGCAATGAAAGAAGAAGTGAGAATACAACATTTTCCCCCCCGTTAAGAAAAGAAGAGAAAGAGAAAGAGGAAAGAAGAAGACACAAAACAAATGCAACACAAATTACATAGGACTCAATGCAATATACAAAGTACGATAGACAAGAATAAATAAATGTACAATAACCACAATAGGAATCAGCACGGTTTGTACATAATAATATACACGGAGTAATTACAAGCTTTGTACAAAAACTGACACACACAAAAGATACGAAACGTTATAAACATTAGGCATTTGTAAATCATACTATCAAAAATAAATTCCGGGCCCGGTTCTAAGAATCTATTGGATACGCGAGTGACCAATAGCAATACATAATCGCACACAGTGATACAAAACATTAATATGCCTAACATTCACACAGCATCTCCAAACCTCACAGGTTTCCGCCGCTCACGTCTAGAGCGTCTAACAGTCTCGTTTGCTGGCGCTGTTGCGGCGGTGTTAGCTGCAGCCGTTGCACCTATGTTCCCCTGCACAGTCCTGTTACCGGTGGATCTTCGATCGGAAGTGTCCTGATCACCGTTAGGCTGAACCGGTGGATCCCGTGCAACAACGCCTGATGGCGTACACTGGGCAGGAACCTGACTGTCATACGCGACAGGTGGCGATTCAGGAACCCAGTGAACTGTCAGGCCTCCTGATGGCCGATGCTGAAACGTGTTTAAGGGCGTCGACTGTTTCTCGGGTGGAAGGGCAGCGGTCAACTTGGATGCGTTCCAGACTCTTCCGTCCTCTAGGCGGAATGTCCAACGTCCAACTCGTTCCACTATTTTCAACGGCTCGCTGAACTTGGATTTATCGTAGCGCGTTTTCTTTGGAAGCCGGTAGCGAACGAATTGACCAACAACAAATGTCGGTCGTTTGGCTCCTCGTCGCTGGTCAGTGTATTTCTTGCTTGACTGTTGCCGATGGCACACTCGTTCTCGTAGACGTTTCCTCTCCTTTACTGGGTTACGAAGAAATTCCCGAGGTGACAGACCCAGGATATGGAGACGCGTCTTCGGTTTCCTTCCGTGGAGAAGGAGCGCTGGCGACAGGCCTGTTGTGGCATGTGGGGTACACCGGTACACCCCTAGGTAGTCGGTGACTGCTTCTTGTAACCGACGCTTTTCAGCGGTAGCGAGCTGAATGAAGCTCTTCAGTACTCGATTGAACCTTTCGACGAGCCCATTGGCTTGCGGATAGTACACCGACGAGTAGACGTGGTTTATGCCTCGGTCTTTTAGGAAGTCGTTAAACTGTAAGGACGTGAACTGTGGCCCGTTGTCTGACACGAGACAACCTGGATAACCTTCCCGAGCGAAGACTGATGACAGAAATGTCATCACTCGAGAGGTTGTCACGTCGTGGCAAAACTGAACTTCTGGCCATTTAGAAAAATAATCAACAAGAGTGATGGCATACCGGCATGCTGGCTCTGCTCGTTCAAATGGACCGACAATGTCGATGGCGACTTTGGCCCATGGCCGCTCCGGAAGTGGAACTGGCTGCAAGGGTGTTGGTGAAGCTTTGACAGGCTTGTCTGTCGCTTGGCACACCGGGCAGCTTCTGATCACACTTTCGGTTTGACGATCCATGGCAGGCCACCAGTAGAGGTCTCGGAGCCGACTCTTGGTCCTGACGATTCCTGGATGGCCTTCGTGAGCAATCTCAATCAGTGTATTTCTCAGTGTCGTAGGAATTACAACATTTTCTCCTCTCATCAGCATGTCATCTACGACTGAGAGTTCGTCACGAACATGAAAAAAAGGAACAATGTCGTTGGACAAAAACTTCTGCGACGGCCAGGATGAAACTACATAATCCATCACTTGACTTAGGATGACGTCATCTGTCGTGGCTTGCTGCAGCTGTTCTTTTGTCACGCAAGGAGTGACGAACGACACGATCTCCTCTTCAAATGATGTCCCACCTTCCGTGTCAGCTACTGGCAAGCGTGACAGAGCATCCGCCACACGGTTGTCAGATCCTCGCTGATACTCAACCGTGAAGTGGTACATCAGCAGACGTGAGGACCATCGCGTGATGCGCAACGGACGATGTCCTGTACCGCGTGTTGACAGAAGGGCAATCAGTGCCTGGTGGTCGGTACGTAATGTAAAGTGGCGACCCCATAGGTAGTTATGCCATCGCTCACATGCCCAGAGACATGCCAGGGCTTCTTTTTCTCCAACAGAATACTTTCGTTCTGTTGGAGTGAGCGTACGAGAGGCAAAAGCAATAGTATGGACTTGTTTCCCCGCTCGTTGCTGGAGGACAGCCCCAAGCCCATATGCGGACGCATCTGTTGCGACGATTATCGGCAGGGCGGGGTCGAACATCCGAAGCACTTGACTGGACGACAAGAGAAATTTCAACCGTTTAAAACTTTCGTTGGCCTCTGGGTCCCAAATGAATGGAACGTCTTTGCGCAGGAACCGGCGAAGTGGTTCCACTTCGGTCGCAAGTCTGGGAATAAATCTGGAATAGTATTCCACCAGTCCCAGGAATGACCTGAGCTGGCTAATGTCCGTTGGCACTGGTGTCTGGTTGATGGTGTCCACTTTTTGTTTGAGAGGAGCAATTCCCTGGCTGCTAACTTGGTGACCCAAGAAAGAGAGTTCTCTGACATCAAAGACGCACTTGTCATTCAAGCGTAGCCCCGCACTGGAGATGCGCTGAAGAACGGCTCGGAGGTTAGCAAGATGCTCCTCGCTGGATCTGCCAAAGACAATGATGTCGTCTATGTAGAATAGCACACCTTCACAGCCATGTAAAATTCTAGACATCATTTGTTGGAATGTGGCAGGAGCAGAGGCCAGGCCAAAACATACTCTCTTAAATCGGAACAGCCCTTCATGTGTTACAAAGGCTGTCAGGTCTCTGCTATCTGGGTGTAGTTCTACCTGATGGTATGCAGAAGCCAGATCTAGCTTTGAGAAGTGGGTTGCACCAACCAGGGAATTAAGCAGTTCCTCTGTGTGTGGTAGAGGGAAGCTGTCAATAACGACTGCCTTGTTTGGCTCCCTGAGATCTACACACATCCTAATTTTTCCATCCTTCTTCTGGACTACGACGATTGGCGACGCCCATTCAGACGCGTCAATACGTTCAATCACGTCATTTGCTTCAAGGCGCTTAAGCTCGTCTGAAACTTGCTTGCGAACCGTAAACGGAAGACGTCGCAATTTGCATTGTACTGGTGTAACAGAGAGACGGACTTTTACCTTGTGTACATAGCCTTTGGCGTGACCAAGCTCGGAAACAAAAAGATGCTTGTAGTCAGCACTCAGTGATTTCGGAAGGCGTCCCACTGTAGGTGTTTCAGGTGTCGCTATTCCAGCAGCAACTTGTCGATCTCCGATATGAGGAGGACCACTCTTCGGAGACAGCCGTGATGCGGAACTTGGTTCCCCTACAGCAGCACGTAGACGATCCTCCCACGACGACGGCCGTTGCTGGAATTTTTCTGGAGGGCTGTGCGCTACACCAGCACCATCCGGTACTTCGTTGGTCAATGAATCTTGCCCCGATGAGGAATCTAGGCCTTTGACCTGAGTGTGAAGACAGCGCAACGCTGTCCCTAGGATGCGAAGGTCTAGGGCTTGTATAGCATCAAGACCCAAGAGAGACGTGCCAATGTTTGTAACATAAAATAATATAAACGCCGTTTTTTCCTGGTAGGAGACATCTGCGTAAAATGCTCCCAGGACTGTTATTTTCTCATGTGAATAGTTCAGGAGAGCCGTTGGTGGTGAGAAAAGCTCGATGGTCCTTTTCTCTTTGAGGCTCTTGAAAACCGCGTCCGAAACGATGGAAACGGACGATCCGGTGTCCACGAGAAAGTTGACAGCATGATGGAAGACGATGACGTCTATGTAAATGGCCGATCGACGACCACATGGAGTAACGTTCATTACAACTCCATAATCGTCTTCGTCGTCGTCGGAAAATATCTCTTGGATATGAACGGAGTTCTGTCGACGGTTGGAGCTCCTGCAGACTCGCGCGTAATGTCCACGCTTACCGCACCCATAGCCCGTGGCATTTTTCGCAGGGCAGGCCGCGGCGATTAGACATTTGTGCAAACCACAGTTTCGGCATTCTGGCAAGGTCTCCTGGTGCGATCTAGGTGCCCGAGGTCCGGTTGTGAGCCTCTTGTACTGGACCGACTCCCGGTTATTACGTGGTACTGACACTGATAGGTCATGAGTGGACGTCCGGGAGAGACTCCGATTTGAGGCTCGACGAGACAGAGGCCTGTCGTGTTGTGGTGCATGGGAGGTAGTCAGTCGTTCCGACGTAGGCGGACGCCATGACAGCTGGCGTGAGGAAGAACGCTTTTGGTTACCTCGCTGCTGTCGATGGGAGGGTCTACGACGTTCTGCATTGACCTCGCATGCTATTGAAGGTTCGTCGGCATATGGCTGTGATCGCATCGCGCTTGCTTCTTGTGCGGCCTTCTCTAGGTGAAGAGCGACGTCGACGGCGCGCTCGAACGTTAAGGCTTTGTCGTAGAGCAGTCGTTCGCGAAGAGAAGTCGAGGATATTCCCGCTATGAGCTGCTCGCGAAGGTCTTCGTCAACGCGGGTTCCAAAATCGCATGTGGTCGCTAATTGACGTAAAGCCGCGATATACTCTTCGAGCGACTCGTTGGCTTGTTGATAGCGGCGGCGAAACCGATATCGCTCTACAATGGCGCTCGTGGTTGCAGAGAAATGGTTGGCTAAGGCTGCGACCGTTTTTACGTAGCAATCATGAGAGGGACTTTCCACAATGACAGACTGACTTGACGTCGTAGCTTCTCCAGCCGCGTTTACAGCTGGCCCCGTTGCTGGCGGAAGCGTAGCGGTAGTGGGTGGTGGAAGACGACTCACTATTACGGCATCATAGATACGTTGACCTTCATCACCCAAGTTGTGGATGAGGATGGATTGACGGCGAACGGCAGAAAACTCAGCAGCACCAGCTGCATCCATGTAGCGCTGGAACCGCTTGTACCATTCGTCCCAAGGTACCGGAGGTCGTCCAGGCACATCCAGAAATGGCTTTGGTGGCGCGATGTTTGAAAAAGCCATCTTCGGATAAGAGCGGATCAGCTTGCGGCAATCTGGCGTCCTGGTCCGATCTATCAGGAGGCTGCGTCAACGTTCTCGGAGCGAGGCCTATGTCCGAACGCTGCGGTAAGGCCTAACTGCGCTGAGTCCAGAATTGAGCTGCGGCAGGATCGCAGATCGGCGGACCAAGGTAGGCGAGGACGCGCAGTCCCCCGACGAACTTGGAGGCTAGCAGGGACCGTCAAGCATCCTCGTCGCCAAAAGGATGTCGTGTCCCAGCGAGGGACAACGGCAGGGACGTCGTGACTGAACAACCGTCATCAGGCCAATGATGTTTATTCAGGGCGCAAGGACCCAGCTCGAGAAAGAGAGAAAGACGAAGTGGCATCTAGTGGCCGAGAATTATAGATGTGGCAAAGAAGTGGCAATGAAAGAAGAAGTGAGAATACAACAATGGGGTAATGGGGTGGATTTCATTCTGTTAGTTATTATAACAACTTTTAAATACAGGGTGTTCCAAAGAAAACTTTACAGGGTGTTTTTTTGCATCGTTAAAATAAACGACGCATTTCCGAACGCTCTTTTTCTGCCCTAATACGCAGCGCAAGTGGTTCAAACAAGATGCCGAAGTTTTAAAACTATCCATTACTTTATTCATAAGTCTTAAGTGATTTTTGGAAAATTTCAATAGAAAAATGGGGTCTTACGGTGTCCTCGGATAGCTGGAGCCCACTGGCGCCAGTTACCGAGAATGGTCTCCTTTTTTCAATTGAAAGCTCCAGAAAGGCACTTAGAACTATTGCATAAAATAACGTCTAATTCTTAAACCTTTACACCCGGTGTGGAGCGCTAGTGCAGCATTTGGGCAGAGAATGAGCGTTCGGTGGTGCCTCGTTATTTTTGTGGTAAAAAAATCCTGAAATTGTTTGTAAAATCAATCCTGAAATAGTTTGTGGGGCACGCTTTATATTTCACTCGAGATATTCACTAAACATGTTTGTGTTTTCTGTTCAATGCATCCCCAAATAGCTTGTAGTCGTCGAAGCCTTTGGTTCCTGCCTCGCTTCGTGAGGTCGGTGCACCACTATAGACAACAATGCCGATCGCTGCAACCCTATAACCTTCACAGTTATTTACGTTCCACAGAGAGGAAGAGAAAGAAAACACGATGAAGGATAGAAGAAATATAATGCGTAGTCATTTTAATGTTTTCACCGTACTCAATTATCTCTTAATGAAAAACACCAAACCTTTAAAAAAGATGTGGGCCTTGACGAGGACGAACAATGACGGGAGAAACAAAGGCGAATTATTTGACGGAAAGCTATATATCCTTATAAGCTGGAGGTTTTATTATCTATGGCATGCAAGTCCAACGAATGATCTTATTTGCTTATTTCATTCGCACTTCTCAGTAGATATTTGGTGGTGCTGGAAAAAAGGGGAGGCGGGGGGGGGGGGGGGGGAGAGGGAAAAGGGGTTCCGCGGCAAAATTTTTTTGTTTTTTTGTTTCTGTATGTACAAATATAGAATAACTTTGATCTCCTTTGAAAGCACTAAATCAAATACTTGATGGCCACAATACATCGCTCACCTGTCTTGTATAAAAAAAATTATCATCACACGCAATTGTTTTCACTGGAAGCTTACTTTAGAAAGTTATATTTTAGTTCATTTAAAATTATTCGGGGCATATTTTGTTTCAATTATGATTCGTTCGGTACGAGCATTTTGTGAAAGGTAGAACATTTCCCAAATTCGAGCCTTCAATGTTCTGGTATTTACAACTGCAATTTTCAAGACAACGGGGGCTATACAGAAGAGACGCTAATGAAGACATACAGGTAAACCTTCATTATATTTCTTCTCACGTTAAACATTGCCTCATATCTTCCCATTAATATCAGCACGATCTCCAACGGATACTTGTGATGGCTCTCACCTGTATCACAGGGCGAAATTTTCTCTTAAAGGAGCCTTCAAGGATGAGGTTGTGCGTCGTGCCAACGAATATGTTCTCATCAGTCGCATACGGCAGGTGCTGGCAGATGGCGTGCACGCCACCAGTTCCTTTTGGCAACTGAAAAGGGCATGAGGGAAAATCAGGCTAGAAGTGTCGAAAACTGGGACAGTTGGAACTGGTTCATAATCAAAAGGAGAACGGACAAAAACAGGAACACGAGATACACTAATGCAAGAGACGAGCGCTCGTCTGTTGTACTTGTTTTGTGTCCCTGTGTTGTGTGCCCTCCGATTTTTTATTTGAAAAGCACCGACAGCTTAATGGAAGATGAGTGTCTTTAAACTAAAAATAAACTGCAAATTTATTATTTTTTAAAGCTTACAATTTTGGTGTCTTCACAACCTAATAAATCTCCTCACAAAATATGATCAGTAGTTTCAATACCTAGCTTTTCTACAAACAACGAATGACAAGTCACAATAAGCCTGATGTAAAGCACAAAAAAAAAATGTAAGTTATTTTTTTTTTGCTTTATTTTTTGTCAAGTGGCGTTGCCTTACGGATGTCTTCACTATGTGTTTAGGAATGGATATTTATAAACTTGGAACCGTTGTTTTTTTAGTAATTCAGCTACATACTAAAGATTTACCTTTTGCACCCTATTTAATATAAAAAAATACATTTTCTGGGACTCTAGGTAATTACTATACCACATATTACCTTCTCAATGCGTTTATTTATTTAATAAAAATAGCGTCATTTTATAACTATTCTATAGCTGTAGGATGTATGGTGCAAACTTGCAAATTGCCATGTGTAGTTAAAACAAAAATTATATTGAGAAACCGACAAACCACCCGTACGAATTTACCTACTTAAAATTGTACAACTTTCTCTACCCCGTTTGTTCGAGACAAAATATATTAAATATAATTTCAGATTCATCATCAGCGTAAAGATTTACAGTCGTGCGCTGAATTTGTATCACACGTGTAAAGGAATAATAAAGCACTTTTAAGAAGCCTCATTCGCAGGGCATGGAGTGCGGCGTGGTGAGTCCAGAATATCTCCTCATTGTGCCGCTGCCATTAAGATTGTGACATTGCAAGAACGTTCAAGAACCAATGGCGAAGCAAGAAGCCTGGACATAAGAAATGACGTGACGAGTGTCTTAATGGAAAGCTAGAGAAGCGCTTGGATTTAAAAAAAAAAGTAAAAGTTATAATGTAGACATCTTAAAAATTATGCGTCTCAAGTTGTCTTTCGATCGTATTAGTAAAGCGTCGTAATATCCAGTGCAAATTTCGGCGCAGACCCGCCCCTGGCGGCGCGCCGAGGGTAGGAAAGGGTGGGAGCGGAAAGAAAATCTAGCAAGCGGGGTCAGATGACCCTTGCACGCCACTAAGCTGGCTCGGAGAAGCCGTCGATGACGTCACGAAGCTCTGGACAGACAACAGGCGGCAGAAAGGATCGCCGCATGGCCAGAGGCAATCGCTGTACGTATTTTTTCAAGATGAATGCGGTTTACGTTTACTACTGCCCAAGATAAGTGTGATAACAGAGCTCACGGGACAAAAAGCTATAAAAAACCGCTCCTAACTCGAATGTTTTTTTTTGTTTTTTTTTAAGTGTTTTAGCTTGCCTTTAAGGTGTCAGTGGCCAAAAAGTCGAGAAAAAAAGGAGCTGACCCGACTGACGTATGCGCACAACCTCAAACTCAATGGCCAATACTACCACAAAAAGAACATCAACATGACAAAACCAACAAAACAAAAAAAGATTGTAATCCAACAAAACATCATATTGGGGAAGAGTCTAGAGTGCGAGGGAAGTGGGGGGGGGGGGGGACATCAATGTCCCACTTGGGAGTAGGGTAGAGACCTGGAAGGTGCGCACTCCACAAAAATCGGCACGAAAAAACATATAGATTTTTGGTGGCAGTAGCTCTTCACCCATAGATTCCTTGCAAGAGTCGCACACAAATATGTAGTGTCCTTTAAACATAATTTACGAATTACAGCAAAGTGTGTAAACTTTAACACCACCAGAATTGAAACCAAAGATGCGCTCACCGAAGTGACACCCAGCTTGTGAAACTTTCGGTCCACATCCCAGGCCTTAATGTGTTCTTCTCGGTCAATGGAAGATGCCGACAGTAGCAGGTTATGAGGTAGGTACAGGAGCACGTTCACGTCGTTCTAGGAACACAACGCAGAAAATAGAAAATAAAATGTTTTATCAACCGCGCCAATAAAAGTCACAATAACGCTGCCTCCGGTAAGATTTGGATGTTCACTGATTTGCTTCAAATTTATTTAACCCGTTATTAGGCGCACCTACACTAGTGTCCCCCCCCCCCCCCCCCCCCCCTTCCCCACCACAAATTTCAAGTCTCAACATTTTTTTCTTCCAAGTTATTGAAGCTCCAAATTTGGGGTGAGAGGCTGAGAAGCTCTAACTGACAGCACTAAAAAAGTGACGTCAGATGTCGTAAAATGCGCCAATATGGAGCCATCACAGCTTGGTACGGACGAGTAGCAAGAAGTTTGATGGTGTGAAATGAATGTTGGTTAACATTACGCCACCAAAACGAAAGTTAAAGGCACAAAATATTGCGTTATTCAGACCGCCTAATCGACTTGTAAGTTGCACGTGCGACGACACCCCTCTGGAGCGCGCTGAAAAATCTGAACGCTGCATTTTATATCACCTTCATTTGCCGTTTTCTCAAGAGCAGTTTTTAATTTAGAGTTTATAAATGGCGCACCGAAAAGAGTAAAGCTTAGGTATTCCGAAAATGAATGTTTTCTGCGGGTACTCCGAATAATTGATGCTTAATAAAGCATCAGCAGGTAAGAAACATTTTGTTTTCTATACGAGGGAAGTAAAAATAGCGATGCCGACATTCAGTATATTTTAACCCCATCGGTGTATATATAGAGGGTGTTTCAGAGAATGCAGGCCAAATCGCTCCTGCGAAAACTACTCATCGCAACGAAAAAAGGCTTGTGGCGTTTGGTCCTGGGCCAGGGTGCCATTTAGGAAAATTAATAAAGTCCGGGATGATTAAGTTGTTAAATATTTTTTTGTGTAATTAGCTTTTTTTATTATTGTGCTTAAGGGCATGATTTAAATTAGAAAATTGCTCAGCATCAACAAAAAACACTAAATCAACAAATTTCAGAACGATAGAAGGCACGCGAAGCATTTTACGGCTTTCTGAAAAACCGCACGAATTCGACGGGTTTGTAAGTTTCAGTTTGCTATCGGAGCGCATCTCGGCCCCGGCGGCACCGCGCCCCGTGGAGAGACAGCGCAACCAGCCTCTGCTGCGCTGTCCGTAAAATGCTTTGCGTGCCTTCTATCGTTCTGAAATTTGTTGATATAGTGCTTTTTGTTGATGCTGAGCAATTTTCTAATTTAAATCATGCCCTTAAGCACAATATTAAAAAAGCTAATTACGCAAAAATAATTAACAACTTAATTATCCACGACTTTAATAATTTTCCTAAATGGGCCCCTGGCCCAGCTATGACCAAAACTCCAGAAGCCTTTTTTCGTTGCGATGAGTAGTTTTCGCAGGAGCGATTTGGACTTCGTTCTCTGAAACACCCTGTATATATGTATATGTATGTATATATATATATATATATATATATATATATATATATATATATATATATATACAGGGAACGGCCGTAAAAACTTTGACATTTGCCACGCCTAGCAAAAATCGAATTTCAAACGTACATACCTGAAAGTGGGCACACGAACGTCGTTTATTCCAAAGTTTTTTGCCTATTTTTTTCAGACGTCAACTCGGGAGTAGCGAATTATTAGAAAGATGACAAAAATGGCAGACGTGCATTTCCTATGGCCTATACCCGCCCGTTCGCCGTCTGCTATCTAATTCGCGACGCCGCGCCCAGGTGGCGCACTGAACGCCAAAACGCGGAAAACGCCGCACGAAAGGCTGGTGTCGAGCAAGATAATCGTGATAAAAAGTGATTTTACCAAAATATGTGAATGATTATGCCATTTTACTTGAAATTTAGAAACTGGCGGACGCCCTCGTTTAATAAAAATATGTTCTAAAGCAGATGAACGTGCGTCTTCCTTTGTCGTCTGCTTATCTGTTGACGGGTCCGTTCCCGGTGAAAGCTCAACTTGGGAATCAAGAGTGCCGCTGCTGAGGCATCTTGATTGTTCCCATTTATTGTTTTTGTTGCACTATCTTCTGCAGTTATTATCAAAATATTTTCCGCGCCGCCCTGCGATGTCGCAATACTCGGCAAGTGAGTGTGCCCAGGCAGTCAAGTGGTACGTGGAGCGGAACTCGGTGACCACAGCACAGCGAAAATTTCGCACTGCATTTCATAAACGCCCGCCTTCACGCCCGACTATTTTGACTTGGGCGAATCGTTTTATGAGTGGAGAAGACTTTAAAAAGAAGAATCCAGTCAGTGAACGTGAGAGCCTGCTGAAAAATGAGGAGCTCATTGAAGCGGTGCTTGCTGTCTTCGAGAGCGACCCGCAATTGCCAACAAGACGAGCAGCCAGGTTGTTTGGAATTTAGGAAAAAAGCGTACGACGGATTCTGCGGAAAAATAATTTGCGCCCGTACAAGATGCAAGTTGTCCAATTTCAATAATCGTTCATATACTTCGTTTAAATCACTTTTTATCGCGATTATCTCGCCCGACACCAGTCTTTCGTGTGGCGTTTCTCGCGTTTTTGCGTTCAGTGCGCCACCTGGGAGCGGCGTCGCGAACCAGATAGCAGACGGCGAACGGGCGGGTATAGGCCATAGGAATTGCACGTCTGCCATTTTTGTTATCTTTCTAATAATTCCCTGCTTCCGCGTTGACGTCTGAAAAAAATAGGCAAAAAACTTTGGTATAAACGACGTTCGTGTGCTCAATTTCAGGTATGTATGTTTGAAATTCGATTTTTCCTAGGCGTGCCAAATGTGAAAGTTTTTACGGCCGCACCCTGTATATAAGAAAAATGTAAAACTTTTAACTGAAGTAACGTAGATGTACCACTACACCGTCCTGAATGGAAAGGGTCAGTCGTGTTCCAGGAATTGTGTTCCACGCGCCCGCGCAAAAAAAGTTTATTTTTTTTTGTTTTTGTTTTAAAATATTTTTTACTTGCTTCTTACTTTATACTGCTCGTGTGGCTCTTTCCCATGTTATATCTATTAATTATGTTGGTGATGTTGCCTTTAAAGTGGTTAACGAGGTCAAATATTGGGGGAAGGCGGATATGAATTTTATCAGTATTCTTTTGTGGTTCAAGCACTGGAACGCAATAGCACTCAAGGCAAATTTTGTTTTATACTCTTTTGAATGGACTTTTGAAATGGCTCCAGATAATAGTAATGAGACAGGCATCATGCATATTTCAATATGCTTTCTAAGAAGTGAAGTAAAATAGAGGACACACACGGCTTTAAACTTGAGCACTTCCAAATGTACCATGTCCCACAAAAAGAAAGACCAATTAGCCGAGGTAATTCAATCGACTGTGCAAAGTCCGATTTGACCAGAGGAAATTTGTTTTTATAGGAAGAAAAGAAGAGCCAATGGGTTCATTTCTTTCCTTGGTCCTAAGCAACGGTCAAATGGAATCCTGCACTGCCGCCTGAAACCGCCAGTCAAATGGGCCTTTTATATCTATGAAGACTGTGACTCACCTGATGCGCTTTGAACTCTTTGCTAATGAAGAAGTAACTTCCTTCTTTCGACGCTGACCACACCGTGACGTACCCAGCATCATCTCCTGTCACGAAACCAGCAGTTCCCAAGAAGTCCACCGCAGTTATAGTCTTGGGACTATGTTCCTGAAATAATTGGTACATTCAAAAACATTCATCACCCCATCGAGACTGCCGTTATGAAAACGCAATATTCATTATCTTTACAACCCATCAAAGAGTTCAAGGTCTCCCCGAAAAATAATTTACAGGATTTCTTTTTTTTTTTGTAGCGAAAAACTGAGCTACGCATCGCGAAGTGTTCATCTTCTGCTCAAATGTGGCGCTAGAGGTACGAACCAAATGCCAAAGTTTTAGCCCGAACCAACATCTTATTCAAAAGTTACAAGTGATTATCCGAAAACTCCAACGGAAAAATGGGGCCCTTTTCTCTCCCGTTTTCGGTTTCTGGCGTCATAGAGCCCAACGTATTCAAGAGCTTCGTCGGCGGCCATATTTCCTTTGAAATTTTCAAAAATCCCTTATAACTTTTAAATAAGATTTACGTTCGTGCTGAAACTTTCGCATCTAGTTTAGACCTCTAGCGCTACCTTTGGGCGGAAAATGAGTACTCGGCGACGCATAGTTTTTTTGTTTTTGTTTGCAAAAAAAAGCAACCCTGTAAATGTTCTAAGATGGCATTTTGGGCCCGTTGGTCCATGATCGAAGTTAGGCGCCGAAAACCAAGGACAAAAAGAGACGTAAACAGTGGCGCACTCGCAACTAACATTTATTGAAAAAACGAATTCCTTATGGAGCCGTGAAAAAGAAAAAAACCTTCGTCACGACGAGGCACGGTGTAGACCCGTTTCTAGATAATCAAATACTTTTGTCGATAAGGCTATTGACGTGTCACTTGTGCACCTCTTGCCCTTTGCTTTGATTTCAAAGGCCTCGTGGAGCTCCCTGGACATCTAATCTGAGTATCTGGCCAGAAATGTTGTGTTTTTAAAAGGCGGGGACCAAGGGCAGCGGTTGCAGTGTGTTGCCAGATCTCCATCTGGCATCTGGCAATACACTGCAACCTCCGCCATTGCTCCCCGTCATTTAAAGACACAACATTTCTGGCCAGATACTCAGATTAGATATCCAGGGATCTCCACGAGGCCTTTCAAATCAAAGCAAAGGACAAGATGTGCACAAGTGACACGTCAATAGCCTTATCGTCGAAGGAATTTGATTTTCCAGAAACGGGTCTACACCGTGCCTAGTCATGACGAAGGGTTTTTTTCACGGCTCCATAAGGGATTCGTTTTTTCAATAAATTTTAGCTGCAAGTGCGCCAGTGTTTATGTCTCTTCTTGTTCTTGTTTTCTCGGCGCCTATCTTGGAACCTGTAAATGTTTTTCGGGGACACCCCGCGTAAAAGGGACGCGTACACACTAAGGCGTAGCGCGAGGTAAAAAGGGGAAAGTCCTTACGGCAGTAATGGCGTCTAGTCGGTCGAGGAACCCGTCCTTTCCCCTCCTCCAGAAGCATAGGTGTTGGACCCCAAATGTCAGGAACAGGTCTTCCTCGGCCGGCGGAAAGTGGCAGCCTAACACGGGCGCCGGATTGGCCTGGGCGAGCAAAAAGGGACAAGACAAGGAACGATTTACAAATACCTGTTATGGGAAACAAGGCATGATGGCCGGTACTACGTAAAAACAAAAACTTGCAAAAAAAAGGATTTTTTTTTTTATATCAGCGACCTCTTTCCACGACTAATATGTTTACAACCTACACCAGCCAACCAGTAAGAGTACTGGCAGAACTACAGAACTCCAATAACCTTTAATCTTTTTTATATAAAAAGTAGTAGAAAAACAAGTATTCAAGTTGCACGCCTCTATATTAAATCAAATCAAATAGTTTATTTTTCCATTTACAAACAAATGGGGGGAGGCCGAAGTAAAAAGCTGATAAATCAGCCTGACATGGTCCTGGGCCACCTTACAGAGCAGTGGCTTCGGCAATGAAAAAATATACACTGAAGAGTTAGGAAGTAAAATAGTCAAAATACAAAAAGGCGTGTCAGGAGCATTGGGTAGAAGTATTAAAAAACATTGAGAAGCTGACAAGCGCTTTCCCTATCGTCACACAAAGTTCAACTTTCCTTAGAAAACCTGAACTTCAAGGAAACAAAATCAACCCACATTAAAAGTAGACATACTAAACGAAAAAGAAAAAAAGTTGTTTACGGCGTATATCCTCATTTCCTATTCAAATTGGAGAAATATGTAAAAAAGAATGAACCCCCCCCCCCCCCCCCCCAGCACGACTGACCTACAGGGTGATTTCAGATAAGATCGACCAAAGGATGGCTAGTCAACATTTTCAAATCAACTGATGTTTTTATATGTTATTGTCTAGTGTCTGGTATGAACGAATCCAAACTTAGTTTTGACTAGAAAAAATACTTGGGGACAGGAAAAATCGTAAGGCATGAGGTGGTGGACAGTTGCATTAACGCGCACTGATGGAGGGGGCCCGTTTGAGAGTGAATAACTAAAGCGATAACATTAGGAGAACTCTAATACGCTTTAGGCGCAAACTATGGGTATAGCTTGCTTGTAATATAAAGTAATCATATTTATTTAAAATTTATTTATTTTTTTAAAAATTGACAAACATGCCTGCTCGAACGACAAATGGCAAATTTTGGAGGTCTGTATCTCATGAAATAATTTAATCATTATGATATAATTTGCAGATATTATTCTACTAATATATAGCTAATATTTAAAAAATAACTAAGGTATCTGTGTGATACAATAGTTAGGATATATTTAGTCAAACATAGAAAAAAAATCAAACAAAGAAAAATTCCGATGCGAATAAAAAAAAAACACCACCCTCGATTTTTTTATAACTTAGGTAACCTGTTATACTCTATTTCGGCATTCATTTCGATTAAAAACATGTAGCATCATTTTATTGAGAAAGAAGATACAACTCCCCAAAGTAGGGTCCTTTTTCAAAGCCTACACTTAGCAGTGTTTTATACAAGAACTGACTCTGAGTTCCAGTTTCATGAAACCAACACAGATCTTTTATATATTCTTATTCAGATGAGGCCAATGTTAACTAAAGAAATCGTTCACACACTTAAATTAAGGAGAAACTACTGTGTACAAAGAGGTATCATATTACAGACTAGTGATCCGAGAAAAGATCATGCAGCCATCGGCCACTAGGAACTTTGTTTACTTTATTCTCCTGCGACACTATATGCTATTCCCTCTTCCGCTCTACCTTCATCTCTCTCTCTCTCTCTCTCTCTCTCTCTCTCATATATATCCCTGATATATCCAGAACAAAAACATGTTCAAGCATTCCCTTTCTGCGTGGTAGTGTTCTGTGGCTTGCAAAAATCATTTCCTCGCTAAGCTCACGATTATGGCAAAATAGTTGCCGGAAACCGCAGACGACACTCGTCGCTAGTTCTGGCAAAACGGCCGATACAACCTTTTTTTCGCATTTCCCCGCTCGCTGTCAAGGACAAGGGGGTTCGCTTCAACCAGCAAAACATGGCCGCCGACGCCTGTTTACTGAGCAGTCATGCCTGTCGCCATCTCACTCGCTGGCGTCACGGGCGATAATATCAGGCACAAAGGGGCACACCAACCGGCAGCATTATCACCAAATACTCGAGCCTCGCGTAAATACATAGAGTGTAAACGCTGTCGCCATGTTATCGTAGTAAGACCGCCCCCCCCCCCCCTCCCCGAACGGGGGACTGCAGTACGCGACGGCGTACTAACACAACGGCGACGATATCGACATCGCGGGCTCCGAATTTTCCCATAGTTCTACTCCACGGGCATTTCTCGAAACGCTTGATATTGTGTACGCCCGCCTGGAAGGATTTCAGGCGCGTAGTTAAGATAAGGCGGTTCTCCGCGGCAAAAGAAAGCAATTTCACAAAAGCTTAAAAGCGGCGGCGACGCGTGTGCGGTGAACGCTTGTAGTTTTGGTGTAGACAGGGTGTGTGTGTTCTCGTTGTTGACACCAGCCGGCGATAAGGCACTGCAGGCGGTAGCTCAGTACAGCAAGGGCTAATCCGAGTGACCATCAACGTAACCCCACCACCAACCCCTCGCGAACCGGTCGCCGACATGGCTCAGGCTGTGTCATGAACCACGTGGTAGAAGCTCGGGTGCTTTCATATCAGCGCGTGGAGGGACGACAGTGCGATTCCGGAAAGTCTTTTTCGAAGGCCGCTGACCACAATTTTTTGTCTGGAGACTTTCCCTCTTTCTTCCTTTGACGTGGATCAAGCTTTGCCGACAGCCTCAGTTGTGACCTCTCTTTTCAAATGTACGTTTGCAGTGAGTGAGCTCCTCAGCCTCGCACTTGTCACTTGTGCACCCAGTAGTTCTTTCACTTGGCAATTATATGTTATCAGTTGGGGTTTAATTTCTATTATTTATGTATACATTATGAAGACGTCCTGGAGCTCCGAACGAGTGTTTTGTGCAGATTACTTTTGCAAACACAAAGAGACTATACCAAAGCAGCGGAATTTTCGAAGTGTTGGCGAGTTGGACCTAAACTCGTTGAAGCAAATTCTTCCGCCTGACTGTTCCACCAAAGTGAGTGCGACGGACTACCTGTGCTACCATTGCTTCATGCACATCACTAAGGAGATCTCGATGCGAAGCTCAGAGCAGTGCCCTGACATATTTGTGCCAGCTGAAAAAGCAATTGAAGATCTAAATCGCAGCATACTACCAACAGATGTGTCGCCGCTGAGACAACCAAGCGTCGTAAGAAGTCGGGACAGGCCTGCCTATGTCAAGAGAAAGCAGACAGAACTGGAGAAGGTTGCTGTCAAGAATATACGCTCAAGGCTACGTATTGCGTACGACAGGGACGCACCATCGGGGTCGTCCGAACCAACATGCTCCACATGCACTGAGTGGGTGGACAACTTTCGGCAGGCCTTTGAAACCGCCACCTCTCTCCGGGAACGTTGTCAACTGCTTACACTCCTGCCGTCAACACTGACGAAGAATGAGGTTCAAAAGATGATTCCACAGGCCTCAATGTACCTCATCAGTAAATCCCAAAAACTCAAGGAAAAGCATGGCGTGTGGTATGAGCCGGATCCTTACACGAGGTGCAAGGTGAGCCCTGAGAACCTGTCTGCTGCCCTTCTTCACGAAAGACTTCACGAAAGACGAGCTACAATGTTCGCGCCAAAGTCCCAACCAGAAGGATGTCATCTCTGTCATGCTCAACGGAGAGAAAACGTTCGTGCCAAAGCGCTTCATGACACGCTCAATACGAGAGGCCTTCCGTATATACAAAGACAAGTATCCCGATTCCGGCGTTGGGCTAACGAAATTTTATTCGTTGCGCCCTAGATGGGTCCAATGTATTCCACACCAGGAAGTGTGCGTTTGTGTGCGCTGCGCCAATTATTATCTTTGTATTGCCGCTCTAGAGAACGTTACAGGCTCAACATTCAACACTGGTGAAATGAACTCGGCATTTCTGTGCGACCCAGCAACAGAACTGTGCCTTCAAGGAGACTGTGATCACTGCCCAAAAGGCCAGTTTCTTACACTCCAGGAACTTGATATCCCGGAGGATGAAGAGACTGTGCTTGCAACATGGGAGTCCGGCGACCTTGTGAAAAAAACTTTGGAACCTGAGACTTTCCTAAAAGTCATCCAAGTGACGGTTGGAAGTTGGGTACTTCACAACCATATCCGGCAAACGCAAGGTAAAGCGATCTACGATGAAAAACAGTGCATGCAACGCGGGAGCATTGTCTTTCATTTTGACTTTGCTGAAAACTGGACCATCGTGCTTCCTGACGAAGTGCAAGCATATCACTGGAAAAAAAAAACAAGTTTCGATATTTACATGTGTAGTGACGACAAGAAAATCTACAAACAGCTTTGCCATCATCAGTGAGGACCTGTGTCACGACGCCGCTCACGCTTGCTTGGCTCTAGAAAAAGTGAAGGAGTGGGTTGAAGACAACGTTGCGGTATACTCGTACGTGACGTACGTAAGTGACGGCGCCGCCAGTCATTTCAAGAATCTCTACCAGCTTCACCAATTTGCAAAGGACGATTGCCCACAAGCCCAGTGGTTATTTTCTGCATCTGGACATGGGAAAAATGCATGTGACGGAGTTGGCGGACTCGTGAAGCACCAGGCCACGCTGAACAACCTGAGAGAACGTTCAGTAAGCGCAATTCAGACGGCCAGGACAATGGTGAGCGTTCTATCAAAGAAACTGAAAGGCGTGCATCTTGTATATCTGGACGAAAATGAGGTTGTTCGGTATCGTGAACAAAAAAAAAGAAGAGTGGCTGACGGTGCGCGCCTTCCCTGGCATTCAGTCTTGGCACGCGTGGCGGCTCAGCAAGTCATCAACAGAAGGGACCTGTGACGTATATGTAGCAGGGACAGTCGGATCTGCTTGGAAGCAACTTTATTAAATGGGTACAGCGAGGAAAACCTTAGCGTAAAGTGCCGAATTTGATTTCCCAAGGACTGCTCATTTTGAATGCAGGGACATCTTATTTATCACATTTTTCTTCACGGGGTATTTAACCTACTG